GGCTAAAACCAGGACAACTCTGATGCTTGCAGAATACTGTATTATAATCTTTCATACCTCTATTTTTCTAAAATACTGTATTTCTATTTCACAGGCCCATACTGTTAGTAGTAGCCATTGCAAACAAAAACATCCCCCTACTCCAAGAGCTATTTATTTAAAAGGTCAAAGATAAATTTTACCTCAAAATGGAACAAAAAGTTTTTCCAATTGTATCAGAAATAATGTGTGATACACTCCTACAGCCATCAATAAAGTTGTTACCAGAATGTTAGTCTATGTTAATCTGTGTGTTTTATGGGTTTGCGACAAAGCATAATACACATTGAATGAAATGAGTGAAACCTCAGTTTCAAGTGTATAATGAATTTTAGTCATTGAGTACATTTGAGTTTTTATTTGCATGTTCCACTGTAGTGCTGTGACAACAAATCACACCTGTGTACCACAGCATACATCAACAGTATGATGTAACTTTACTACACCACTGCTTTATTTACCTTTCAGAAAAAGACATAAGCATACACTATAGCCACATCAAACAATTTTCCGGGTTGTTTTTTTTTTTCAATACCATTCACTTTTTCAGTAATATTTAACTTTAAAAAATTTGAATTATTTTAAAAAAAATCACAGAAAATTTATACAGAAATAGCTATAAGGAATAACCTTACAGGCATTGATATGACAAATGTTTATTTTAAGGGCTGAGAGAGGCATTAATATAATATGAACAAAGTGGACTGAAAAGAGTGACTGAATGGGAAATGCCTGCTTCTGCTTGTATGTTGAGAAAAGAAATTCAGAAAGTTATATTTTCACCTTGCTATGTCACAAAGTCAATCATACAAAGACCTACACATTTAAGCTAAAATGATAGTTTTAAAACTCCTTATATTAAAAAAAAACCCAAACCATCATGCAAAACTTTGATCAATTATGCAGCTGCTTTTAAACTATTGCAAGGCCATACTGTATATATTAACTTTGATACTGTTAATGCACAACTAACAGCAAACTTGATTGGATTAACAAAAATTTGTCTTAATTATACTGTTATAGCACACTAAAGAGACAAACACCACAAGATTGGCAAAAACATTTAATTCTGAGCACTCAAATGACAGGATAATCATGTGCTGTAACCCCTTCACTTTTAGGAAAACAAAAGCAAAAACATAATCCTGCAGTCTCACTTTACAAAATGAAGTTCTGTAAAATATTAATTGGGAGTGGAACAGTTTATACTATCTAACACAATGTAATTTATACAACTAGCATCAAAGGCAAGCAAAAAACCCTTCTAAATAAAAAATCAAAATACACAGCAACAGAAGCACAAATGCTGCATTAAATACAGTCAAGATAAGACAATGCACAAGAGAGATGGAGAGAAACTAAAGTTAGCAACATATTTAAAGAAAACACAATGAGGAAAAAACCTAACACTATTTTTTCCAATGACAGAGTTTCCATTTGCAGTCTTTCCATCCATAATTTGTCTGATACAGTACATCATTAAAATATTCAGAATTTCACAGAAGAGCTAAGTTTTTCTCTTCCAAATCTAATTGCTAAGTTGGTTTTGGATGTTTTAAACAGACATTATTATGTCCGTTTAAAAGCAAGGCAACAAATGGACTTTTTATCACCTTCAGTCTTAGCACTAATGACAAACATTTTTAAAAGGTATCATAATCTTTTTTGTCTTTTTTCCCCTCTGCTTCAAATCCATCAACCCCATCACTGTCCCTTCTCCTTTTACGATTATTATGGATGTTGAAGCGTTGATTCATCTGTGGTAATGGATCCATTCCTAAAACTTTGTGTATTTGTCGGAATGCAAGGAGTCTCAGTGCAAACTAGAAGAGGGTAGAAAGATGATATTTCTGTTAGAAACAAATGTCAATTTTAAATACTTTATCAATTAATTAAGAACATCAGTGGGATATGATATTATCCTTAGCTCTTATTATCCTCTCTTACTTCCCCCAACAAAGTCAACACAATAAAATGTGTATGCTACATTTGCTGCTTCTATACAAAATACAACATATTAGCTTAAAAATAATATAGTTTTAGCTGCTGGACTTGCAATGAAGTAGCCAAGGCTTGTTACATGTCTATTACACATTAGCAATCTTCAGCAAAAGGATCAAATGAAGAGGTAGGGGCAGTAAACTCTTAAGCTGCAAGCATGAATGGTCAATACTGTAAGTAGATACAATAAATATTAAAGATTAAGCTTATACAGATTTATTTATAAAATAGTAAATGCCAATGCAATTTTAAATCTAATAACACTGCTGTAGAGCAAGTATCTTTACAGATATATATAGAGATGGGAGTGCTTCAAGTTTTTCAGGAAAATACATTAATTTTAGTACAATGTTGTGACATTTTCATTGCATAGCTTAAGACTGATCATTTGAAAGACCAGACTATATTCTAAAAAAGGAAAATTCATGTCCACCATATAGCTCCATTAAAAATCCCTCCAAAATCAACCACCCAGCCAAAAAACATAGCCATCAAATTTAGTTACTTAACACATACTTTTCCTTACCTGCGCACTTGAAGTAATATCCTCTCGTTGCTGATCTGTCATTACAGCAAGTGTATCAAAAGGATCTTTCTCACAAGGGTCCAGAAGGCCAGGACCACCTAAAACAGTTAGGCTAATTAGTAGCACATCTCTACCTTATTTCAATCAAGATTACAGATTTTACATTACCTGAACATAAGCATACAGACACTGATCAAATGCAACTTGCCTTTAAGGATGATTCCTGAAGATATACACTCAAAAACTCTTCTTAGCGCATCCCCAGGACTCTGTGGTCCAGTAGCACTGCAAATTGCTTTTTCCACAAGCAACTCCATAGCCTAGAACAACAATAAGAAAATCCAGCGAATTTAGAAGACTGATTAAAAAAAAAAAGCTACTACTGTTGTTCAATACAGAACTTTTGATACTGAAATTTTGAAGGACATTACGCATCACAGAACACTTTCAGTAAAAATGGAAAATATCAGATGTTTGTTAATGATGAATAAAAAGGAAGTTGCTATAAGATTAACATTGAGTACTGATACGCTGCTTCTCATGACAAGTTGTCCAAAGGTTTTCTTAGAAATTTATACAGTAGTAGCATACTTGGACAATTTGTCCAGTCATTTCTTGAGAACATGAAACATGGTGAGTCACTAGAATCTGTCAGCCATATGAATAAGCAGCACACAGTATGAAATGATGAATTTGATTCATCTAATGAAATTAACAGTATGCTACAGATAAATTATTTTTTCTACAACAATACAGAAACTTAAAGTATTAAAAATTTAATGACCTTTTAACATTTAAGTGGCTACTAGTTCTTCAGTTTTGCAAAACTGAAGTTCGCAGCAAGTTTTTTCCTGGATATAAGCTAACACTAACTTAGATGTTAAACAAGTGTAAAAAAACCACCTTGATAATAAACAGGTTTTCTAAAATTTACATGTTATTTGATATTAGTTAAAATCACTTACATGATTAGCTGTATTTTAAATATTTTTCTGTGAAAACTTCTATTGTATACTTTTATTAGACCCTATTTTTCCAGAAAAAAACCCTACTAAACATTTTTTTGCAAAAGTAAAGACAACCTTTCCTTAGCTTTTTCAGCATTAAATAGATGTTTCAATACCACCTCCTTGGCAAGTTTTATTTCCAAACAATGTGTTTCTCTTGTTGTTTGGTGGGGCTTTTGGGAGTTTGATTTTTGGTTCCTCTCCTGAGTTTACAGTTGCTCAAATGTTGCCTTTTATCTTTATTTTCCAAGAATAAAAGCTTATTCTAATGCATACAAGTAACTATAGGCAATGTTGATTACAATCCTTCATTAAGGATGCCCATTCCATTCTATTTTAGCTCAATTTAACTGACAAATTTCAATTTTTGAGCATGGTATTTCAGTACTTACACTGTATCACTCAGGATCAAGCTTTTGAGTTTTAGCAACAGTAATTTAGTTGTTTTCAAGTATGAAGTAAAATACAGCAGGAAAGAAAAAAAAGCAGATCACATTATTGCATTTATTCAAGTCTAGTTCTTTTGGATCCTCATACAATACACTAAAGTCCTCAATCATAGGAAAATGTCAAATATGATGCCCTGGTGTTTATGTGCACGAAAGGCAAGATTTCAAGTTTGGAAAATAAATAATAAAAAAAAATCAAACTTGAATATTAGTTCCTTCTAACTTGTAGGAACTTGACAAAATTCTAATTTTGTTTTTATTTCTAGGTATATAAAGAGGCTGATACTAATGTATGTATTTAGATTTCCTAATATTTTTTATTATTACAACTACTTTGGCTCTAGCTTGTAACAGGCTTCTAGCATACAGGTCAGGAGACGTTCTGCTTCCAGAAAACTATCTTCTTCAATCTACAAAATTTCATCTGTAACTATCAGAAATTATATATATTTAAAATCACCATTTTAATTCTGCCATTTTTTTTTGTCAGTAAGACTTTGCCAACAGGCCAAAAGAATAACTGACTACACAAACTTCAGTGTTGATTCATGTCACTGGCAATGCATCAGGTACCAAGAGCAAGACAGGAAGCACTTTTAGAGAGAACTGAGACACAGCTAGGCCTGACACACTGCTTCATACCTCTCTTTTCTCCTGGCTGCGCCTTAGAACAGATATTATGATAAATAGGAAACAACATTCCTATGTGCCTGCTGTGTGTTGCAATATTTTTAAGGATGCTTTTCTAAAAGTATACCAGGGTTTATTCTTTCGCAATTTAGTATCATAAGTGATATTGAGGGCACTTATATACTTCTGAGCTTCTGTTAAACTATATTTATACATTATATCTTTCATGAAGTATAGCACAGAAATGGAAATTATTTTTTTTTTTTTACTTTATATATTTTAAAAAGCAGAAATAACTGCTCCAAATTTTTTCCTGTCGGTAAACAGTACAGTCATAAAACATTTCTCATTGAAATAATTCCAAGTACTATAACTGTCTTGACAATGTTAGCACTCTTCCTGCCAAAAGTGAAAAGACTCCATTAGGAAGCAGCACAGTGCAACTTTATTGGTCTATGAAACAAAACAGAGCTGAATTTACCCCCATATATATAAGCCTCAGAGATTTTGTTTCAGATTAACTTTGTCCAGTCCACAGATTGAACATTTATTAATATTTGGAACACAAGCTGCACTCCTGAAGAGCATCATTTAAGATAGTAAATGTAAAAGAATGCTCCAAAACCACTCGACTGCAAGAATTGAGAGAGGTAACTGGGTACAACCTAGAGATCTGTGTCTAAGGGACACGGATTAAAATGCCAATGGTGACACATCCACAGACTAGTACTGTGGCATTTCATCTTGCCGAAACAATATATTAATGATTGCAGGAACTGTTGTGATTTATTCTTCCAAGTAGCCTTTCTGTTATCACAGAGCTATCTGGGTACAGCTGACATTATTTTAAATCAGTTTCAGTAAAGTCCAAGCAATTCAGAGTAGGCTGTTAGAAAAAAATAGATTCTTTTATACAGAGTAAAGGAATAAATGCTAAAATACAGAATAGAATGCTACCTTCAAAGAATTCAAAACAACAAGAAAGTTCCTTTTTAAAAAACATTTCCAGATCCAAATAGCAAAAGCTCAGAAAATTAAATTTTTAGAGGTAATCTGGATTGTTTGTTGGGGAAAAACAAAAAAACAACCAACAAAACCACCCAAACAAAACTCTGCATTACTCCTTGAAAAAACCCACATTTAAAAACTGTAATAACACTTTCCCATGCTTCACTTGCAGTGCACTAAAGACTCATTCAAAAGAACATTACTCACCCAGCTTGGAAAATCAGACCATGTTGGAACCCGTTGACAGAGGTCACGAAGAATACGTATG